TTGATAACGAGCAAATTATTACTCTATCCAATAGATGCATTGGAAAATGCATTGACTCAATTCAAGCGCTAAAATAATCATGGAGCCATATACTATTGAAGGGTCCTATGTGCCGCTGGGAACAAGGTATGTCTTTCGGAGTAAAAGTGACCAGCGGAAAAACTTTTAACATGAACTTAATTTGTGATATGTATTTCTAATAATTCCAAGAGTAAAGCTCACGGCGTATTGAGCCGTCCCCTTGCTTCTAGTTGTCTTGGGGGGAGGGGAATTTAAGCAGACGAAGGCTCCACCAGCAGTGCCAGATATATCTCGCATAATTTTATGCGTAAAAGCTTCCTTGCGTTCATCAGAAACGATGTTTCAGAATATGGTATCCCTCATATGCTACTGCATAAACATTAGCTGTCCATACGCTGGAACATATCAAAAAACGCATTTCTCCTCTAAGTATAATACATACTTATCTTACTTTTTTTCAAAATGGTACAGCTGATGTTGTCCCTTGTCAGAGCCGTTACAGTGAACTTTATTTCAGTAAAATAAAACTCTGGAAAACATCTTTGTTCAATTACATCTTTCACTTGCTTTATCATTTCTTGTGATTGGTTATGAATAAACGAGGACATTCTGTATATGGGTAATTTGCCATCGTTCTTCCATTTCTGTTACATGATTTCAAACATGTGCCAAGCAGATGCATTAATTTTCAGTATTGTAACTTAGCACTTGTTTAACTGTATGTTGATTTCATTCGATGAATCCTGTTTAGATGAACTGCCCAGCAGCACTAGAACGAATACGTGAAAATCGGCCCATAACAATTAAAGACGACAAGGGCAGCACCAGCAAATGTATAGCTGATATTGTATCGGTAAATAATTGGTTTCACGGTATTTAATGTTTAATGCTTAATACCCTGAAAGTTACTTTTAGCTGTTTATTACGGTGATGGATAAGCTGAAGTTGGAAATTCGAGCCGTCGATGAAGTAAGTATCGTAGTGGTTGTTGAAAACGGATGTTCATTCCATGAGTTTTTGAATGAATAGTTAGGATTGTAAACGGTTATAGGCCAACAGACGATGTGTTGTCTGGTTTTTTTGGATACTTTCGTTTTGGCCAAACAACAACTACCTCAGCAGGGATGACGGAGAAAATTACTGATAGGCCCCTGATGGTGGAAGATAATTACCGGCCTAAACATGTAACATTAAATACGTTGATAGCGACACTCAACTTTATACGAAGTTCAACAGCGGATCAGACAGTCACTCAGAACAGGTTGATATGAATGAAGTGAACTCGCACTCTCGACAAGAAATTCATTTCAAAATAAGCTAGAGTTCGACAGAACATGTGTTTGCCATCATTATTTCTAGTAGACTTGCAAATCAACAAGTTGCTTGAGATCCGTGATGTCCACGCATCTCAACGGCTCACATTTCGATAGGGATCGACAAAATAGTGTTAAGACTGTCACTGTTGTATAGAACATTCTGCCGAACTCCATGAAGACGAAAATTCTCAAATGAATGTTTGGTGTAAACAGAAAGAAATATTACAGAAACAATTTCATGATTGTCAGCTCCTGAGTTGAGTATCCGATGATTATGTAGGCAGTAAAGGCAAATCATACTACGACGGATAAAAAGAAGGGACACGTCAAAGAAGGGCCTTTGCGATGCTGTACTTGAAAACTTGGCCACAGATATGAAAGTGTGACATATTGACTATTAGAAGGGATTCATGATAAAGATATATGAAAGATGGTTTTGGCTAAATTAGATTGGTTTGAATGAGGGCCAAAAACTGTTTGTTGCTTTTCCTCATAATAGCTAGTATTCCAGCGGCAGATGATTAGTTGTTTATGGCATGATCGCAAGGATCCTTCATTATTGGCAGGCAGATAAACACGGTACCGTGCCAACTGTTCTTGTAATCTTTCCAACTGCAATTCTTCCATGCCCCAAGGCGATAGAATTTATTAGGGTCTGATGAATCAGTCATAAGCAAACCAGCACCAGAAATTATGAAAAACAACTACTTATGAAAACTGTTAAGGAAGTCAAAGGAGGCTGCTGAATATCATGTGGCATGATTTCATCTGGAACATGACTGTTACCATCCATTTGATTACTCCTTAGCAGTATATTCAGCTGCTGCAAAGCTGCGCTTTTGTCCGCATGTTTATTCTCTCTACTGAGGTTCCTGCTCCCAGTGCTCTTATTGTGGTCGTCAGCATACATAATTAGTCATGCCGTTATCTTCTTTCTTGGCGGTAGCTTCAGACACACCATAGGACACATGAATAAAACAGTTTGACCAAGCAGGCCGATTGTGGAATAGTTCACCGCGCCGTCGTAAGAGCCACAGTTCGTTGCAACGTTTCTAATCCCAGCCACTCTGATGAGGATCGACTTCGCAATCTAATCTAAGCTTTATGCAATGTATATCATCCAGGCGATAGGCAAGGAATATCGGTTCTATACAGAAAAATAAAACTCGATCTTATGGGTTTACTAGCATACTGCTAGTTATTGATACCGCCGCAATGATGTATAATCCTTTTCAGATACTGGATTGAAGCGACGAAAACACCGGCCCCTTGCTTCTAGCGG